AATATAATATAATATAATATAATATAATATGAGAAAGTGCTTTGGGATAGAACACACACTGGCAACTAATGCAAATATGTCTTTGAGGAGATTCTGCTCTCACAGTCGGTGACTCGACTGTGAGAGCAGAATCTCATTTCATAAGCCTGCTTAGACATACTGGTAATATGTCTCTCCAGCTTTTTACAGGAACCAGTTGAACAGGTTTGGACTTGCTGGATGAGTATACTGCATGCCAGTAGGGTTGAGCACACTCCCCACCCCCAACTTTACCACTACAGCACCACAACCACAAAATTCAAATTCAGGAGTCTAGCGCTCCATCTAAACAAAGGGCTCTTATACAGATAAAGAGGTGTCCTCCTACCATAAATCAGTAAGAGAAGATACAACCTCTTTCATGACCTTAAGGTGTGTGTGTATGCCAGAGTGCTCTGGAAGGCACACAGAGTCTCCACAGACTACTACGGATCAAACCTCCATTATTATGCAATCGATTATAAAACTCAAAGCATATATGAGTAAATATTTCTAAGCATAAATGATAATCAACAATATAAACCTTACACTCACTTTCACGTATCAAGTCAGTGCAAGTCCACTCAGTCTTTATGTGCAATCTGGATTCGAGCGGAGTTAACAGCCAAAGGAGACTCAGCAGCGGAAATGTGGGTGGGAAACAAAGTTTTGCATTTGCATTCAATGCAAATTATCTGGTGAGTATGCTGTGACACAACCTTTGTGTTAGTGTCTTAACAACATACATACATAATAAATATGTAGATACACACACACACACACATCGTTCAAGACCCCAGTTCAGACCGCAGCCTGTGCAAAGACGCCCCTGAGACAACCTAGAATCTAGACAATGTAAAAACAGTTTGACGAAAGACAGTTTAAGAAAAAGTAAGATAACACCACTACACACACACAAAGAAATACATTTTAAATTGTTTTCTTACTTTGAAGTTCATTCTGCTTCTCCTCAAACTCTACTAAAACAGACTCACCTTTACTTTCGGTGGGGGCTCAGCAGTGGAACTGCATGTGGGTGTTTTTGACAAAATAACAGCTATCACTTCAGGCAGCCTGTAACGCCCACATAAAAAAAAACAGGTTAGATATATGCGGGCCTTCCTGTAAGCCAGTCACTATGCTTGTTCCAGACAGGTATGTATTGGCATCATTACAGATTATCTTAGGGGTATGAAGGAGCATAAAAAGAGGAGCATGCCCAAATGTTTTTCTGATTGATATATATATATATATATATATATATATATATATA